TGTGGGAAGGGTCAGTTTGCATCTGCCTGGTGGGTGTTCGACACATGGCCTGACATGCATTAGGTCTGAGAGGAGAACAGTGGTGTTATCTCATAATCCAGACATTATTCTGCCCCAAACCTGAAATCTCAGATACACAGATGTGGTGCTTAGGGACATGGTTTCGTGGTGGAATTGATGTTGGGACAATGGTTGAACTCGGTGATCTTTTCCAACCTAAACGATTCTCTGATTCTCTGAAGCTTTTGGGTTTGCAGACCTGATTTTCAAAAGCACCAGGCAAAATCCTGCTCTCCTGCTGCTGTCCCAGTCTCCACTTGGAGCCCTCAGCAGCCCAAGATGACCTTTTCCAGATGGCTTACCTGGGAAACCGGTGTCTGAGTGCTCTCCTGGCTGAAACCTTCCCTCCAGAGGAGCCAGTCCCACCACTTGTTGAGCAGAGCATTTTTATCAGTGGCTTTAAAAGATCTTGCAGGTCACCAGAGAGGCCCTGCTCCAATTCCTTCAGGGTCTCAGCCTGGCATCACCCAAAAAAGGTTGGCAGGCTCCTCTCTTGAATCCCAGGGCCAACTTGGGATTCAAGAGAGGAGCCTCCCACTCTTTTTTTAAAAGCAGAGCTGATATTAAATGAAATTATCATAAGGGCTACTTCAGCATTTAACTCTTTGGAGAAGCAAGTCCTTCCCAGAGGGGCATCTCCCACTAGAGGAAAGAATTCCAGGTAGGACACAGAAGTATCTGGAAATGGTGCTCTGCAGGCAAGGCAGCTGTCCATCAGCTATAAATTTGGAACATTTGGATTAAGGAGACTGAAGGAATTGGTTGGGACTCTGCTTTCATTCCCAACAGGAAATTTAAATCAAGGAGGAGTCAGGAAGCTACAGGCCCACTTTCCTTTCCAGGTGTGTCCAGGGACAACATCCTCCTTCTGCTGGGGACAGTTGCTGAGTTCCATCCAGGTGCTCTCCATAGGATCCAAACATCCCTGTACAAGGAGAGGTTTCCATTCAGCTCTTGGGGAGTCTGAGGCTCAGCACTGGGCACAGTTGGTTTCTGTTTCAGTGCTCCCGGTGTATTCCGAGCTTCAGAAGCTGCACCATTGATTTCCACTAATTATAAATCCTATAGAAAGTTCTCAGCTTGCAACAGTCACGGTTTGGCTCTCAGTGGAGTCAATAAAAGTTAAGAGTTGCTCCCTGGTTGCTGTCATTACAACAATAAACCCCGGAGTAATTGAAAAGTGAATCAGGGAAATTGCCGGATTGGAGAGCAGTGAAAATAGAAGGAATTACCAGGGAGCCCAAGCAGAGCCTTGTCCCTGCCTGCACCAAGCTGGAGTCTATTCTGGACAAACTGATAAGTGTGTCATGGTGGACATGTCTTGAGCAAGGGGCAAAGCAGGAGCAGTGACCACGTGCCTGCCGAGAGGACAGAAATTCAGTGCATGAGCCAACAAGGGTGATTTTGAATCCCTACCGAGATTGTTCCGCTTCCTAAAAGGCAAAAATGACAACAAAATAATAAAAAAAATCATTTCTCCCTATATTAGAATAAAACTCAAAAGCAAGAGCTGGAGATGCAGCAACAAGAGGACAATTATGTCCTACTAGATAGGTCAGCTGGTACAGGAAGACCCAAACCCCCCAGGTCATTACTGTTTGCACATCGTTAAGATTAGATGAAAACCAGGGTTTTGTTTGGAAGCCAGGCAGCTGGAAGCAAAGCAAGGTTGGAGGACAGAAGACTCTTCTTGGTGACAGTGCTGGTAGAGAGGGAGATCTGCAAAGGCTTGGACAGGCTGAGAAAACTGGGACTGTTCAACCTGGAGAAGTGAAGGTTGTGGAGACCTCAGAGTCTGAAGGGGCAACAAGGAACCTGGAGAGGGGCTGTTCATCAGGAATGGGGGAGTCAGCACAAGGGGAATGGGTTCACACTGACAGGGGGGAAATTTAGGTTGGAGGTACGGAAGAAATTGTTCCCTGTTCAGGTGGGCAGGCCCTGGCACAGGTTGCCCAGAGAAGCTGTGGCTGCCCCATCCCTGGAAGTGTCCAAGGCCAATTTGGAGCAACCTGGGCTAGTGGAAGGTGTCCCTGCCCATGGCAGGGGGTAGAACCAGATGATCTTTAAGATGCCTCCCAAACCATTCTCTGATTTTATGATTCCATGATTCTAAGACTGAGGAAAGGAAAAATAGGTGTCAAGATCAGCAATGGTGTTTCCCAAGGTGAGTTTGGACACCTGTGGCTCTGGAGACAGACATGAAGGAGCACAGGGATGATCCAGAGATGATGTTCTTCCAACACAGTCATCTTGGGACATAGTGAGGCAGATCCTGAAGCAATCACTTGGCTTTCTGCAAGGTCAGGAAAGCCCATGTAAAGTCTGTGAGCACTTCCAGTAAGTCAGAGTCTCACACGTCCCTGCAGACGTCCTCAAAAAAGGGTGCAAGTAAAGAGAAGGTTTCAGAGACACTGCTCTGGGCTGTGGAACACCCACAGGGGTGAGCATCCACCTGGTGATGGGTGAACACAGGTTTTGAACAGCTTCTGGAAGCACTGTTCCTTTGGGACAGCTTCTGGAAAGACCCTGGAAGTGTCCATGGCCAGGTTGGATGGGTTCTGAGCAACCTGGGCTAGTGGAAGGTGTCCCTGCCCACAGCAGGGGTGGAACTGGATGAGCTTTAAGATCCTTTCCAACTCAGACCATCCTGTGATTCCATGGTTCCCTGAAGGCAGAAAAACCAAGCCCATAAACTCCAACAGAAGAACTCTGTCAGAGAACTGTCCCTGAGCCAAGAACAAACTCAGCACAGGTTGAAAATGACCCCACCATGTGATGGAATGGGGTAACCATGTGCTGACAGGCCGCTCCTCCTCAGATGGAGTGACCACTAGGATGAAATTAAGGCTTTGCCATATGGGTGGACTCGGGAAGAGTTTTCAGGTTGAAGTTTCCCAGGACAAAGACCCCAAAGGAATGAAGGGTTGGGGTGTTAGGGGAGAAAACCTTGCTTTTACCAGCAACCAGCACTGCAGGAAGGCACCCAGGAGGGCTGCAAACCCCGGGCAGCTCTGCAGACCTCCACTAACACGCTTCCCACCCTGCTGGGAGGTTCCCATCAGTGAGCCCCCATTCCCACCCCTCTGGTTGCCAAGAGAAATGCCATTTGGAATCCCACAGGTTGTCAAATCCGCAGCTGCTCGGCTTGACTTGCTCTCCTAACATGAAAGACAGAGGCTGGAGGGTGAGATTTCCTCGTGCACAGCAAAGCAGGATGGAAATTTGGGACTAAATACCGGGGGGGATTTGCAATCCAGCTTTGAAGTGTTCAACGAGGAGCCACCGGTGACAATGATGTGCTGGCTATTTTTAGCTCTGAATCCCTGAGGAACAAGGACAGCAGCAAAAACACCAAACCCACCAGACTTGCTTTGCAGAGAAATGCTTTTCCTCTGGGCCAAAGGCAGGAACTTTGCTGTCCACTTCTCTGCACCAGGTTTGGGCTTGTGGCAGGAAAGAAGGGAATAGAATTGTAGGAATCGGTGCTTCTAAGGACAGCTGAGGAAATATGGATCAGTGTGTGCAAATCTGCCTGAACACACACAGTTGTGGCTGAACAGGGCAGGGTCCAGATTTAATAAAATTATTTCTCTTAGTTTTCCCTCGAGGATTAATGATTTTGGATCTGTGTGATGAGATGTGCAGCAGCGCTCAGGGAAGACAATGTCAGAGCAGCTCAGAAGTGATAAGAATACTAAGATGGGTTGAGTTGGAAGGGATTTTAAAGCTCATCCTGTTCCAACCCCCTGCCATGGGCAGGGACACCTTCCACTAGCCCAGGTTGCTCCAAGACCTGTCCAACCTGGCCTTGGACACTCCCAGGGATGGGGCAGCCACAGCTTCTCTGGGCAACCTGGGCCAGGGCCTCCCCACCCTCACAGGGAAGGATTTCTTCCCAATATCCCATCTAGCCCTGCCCTCTGGCAGTGGGGTGTCCTACATGTCCTACATGTCACTACATGTCACTACATGTCACTACATGCCGTGTCCTGTCCCGTTTGCTCTGTCCTCCTCATGCTGAGGGAAAGGAGTGGGAATTTCTCCCTGCACCACCCACTCCCAGTTGGCATCACCTTTCCTCCACTACAGCATTACCCCGGGGGTGTTTGGCCTTTCTGGGCTTTCTTGGAGGTGGGTGGTTCAGATGAGGCTGGACAGTGCCTGGTTCTCACTGTTTGCTGAGGGTGAGCCCATTTTGGGCTGTAAGGCCTGAGCTGAAGGTGCTGTGCAGAGGAGGATCATCTCCAGCACTGGGGAAGATCATCATGGCTTGGAGCATTTCCATCCATCTTTCCTGACTGCTCTGAGGGCTCAGGGAGCTCATCCCTTCCCCTGGCACAGCAGCCAGGGTGAGTGCCCTCTCTGCTGTACCCTTAGCAGGTGTTAATAGCACAAACAGGCACATGTGCAAAGTTCTGCTGCTGCAAAATGTCCTTTCCTATGTATTCTTCAGGAATTGTGGGTTTAACATTTGCTTTGTGTGAGAACATTTACCCACTGGATCTACAGCACAGGTCAGCTCAGAGGGAAATGTTCTCTGCTTGTTCTTGCCACACAGGCACAACTGAAGAGTTAGGAAGTAAAAAAAAGGGGGTCAGAAACAAGGCAGTGACTCGTGGCAAAGTGCAAGAGCTACAGGGGGGATCCCTCAGGGATTTGTCTCTGTTGGGGTGGCCAGGATGATACTGAATTGCTGCCTCTCCAGCCTGGAAGACCCTCCCTGACACAGGGCTGTGTCTCTCTGCTCCTCCACCAGCACTAAGGAGCTCCAGCAACATCCATTTGCAGCTTTAGGGTAAAAAGAGCCTGAAGGAGCAACATTTGCAAAGTTGAAATGAGGGTGGTAAAACACGAGTAGGGAACTGTGGCACTGCCCTCGTGCCCTCATTCCTCTGGGTGCTGTGTCTCTAACTGGGTCTAACTGGGTGCTCTTCCCACAGTTTGACATGCAGAGGATAACGCTGGAGGAGCTGAAGCACATCCTGTACCACGCCTTCCGCGACCACCTCACGATGAAGGACATCGAGAACATCATCATCAACGAGGAGGAGAGTCTCAATGAGAACTCTGGCAACTGCCAAACAGAGTTTGAAGGTGAGGGAGGAACTTTCTGGGTTTCCAAACAATTATCCTCTTCCTGATTTGACTGTAAAACCCACTCTGTGCCGTGACATGCCATGGGCAGGGAGGTGTGATGTTAGTGGGGAGTTATTTTAGAGAAGCAGTGACACACTTGGGGACCTGCAGAGCTGCCATCAGCCTTCCTCCATGGATCAGTAAAGCTGAGCCTGGTTCAGGCAGGAGGAGGAACTACTGGGTGCTTTGCCTTCTGGCAAAATGGGATGGGGTTCAGCCAAAGAGATGTGCAGCCCGTGCTGAGGTGAGTGTCTAAGACAGACTGAATTTCCCTACAGAAATTTCCACATTTCCCTCAGGTTGTCATGGAACGACTTCATTGGCCCTGGCAGGCCCTACCAAGGTGTGTTAGGCTCTTCCAGCTTTCTGTTGTCTTTCCATAAACAGAAAAAGGTCTGCTCTGGGCTCCCAGGGAACAGCTGAGATGAGTCCTGTCCCTGCACTGGAACACCAGCAAGGAGCAAGGGTGGTGCCTCTGTACCCATGGCCTGGGGCACCTCTTGTTCTGAGCTGCAGGTTCAACCAGGACAGCTCATCTCAGCACCTGAGAGTGTCTTCAAAGCCATGGGCTAAGCAGAGCTCAGAGGGAGTCAGAGAAAGGGAAACATTTGCTTCCTCTCATCAGTGTGAGAAGACCACCAAGTGCTCCCCAACTCAGCCTCTGCAGTGGGGTTTGCACTTTGACAGAGCTGACACTGGCAAGAACATTCCCTCTTTTAAGGCATCTCAGGAGAAGGATTTTCTTGGCCAGAGCAGCTTGTGCTGCTCCAAAGCGTTGCTGATTGGAAAAACTGGAGCTGTCCAGAGAAGCTGTGGCTGCCCCATCCCTGCAAGTGTCCAAGGCCAGGTTGGAGCAACCTGGGCTAGTGGAAGGTGTCCCTGCTCATGGCAGGGCCTGGAACAAGGTGATCTTTAAGTTCCCTTCCAACCCAAACTATTCTTTGACTCTCTGAAATCAAGTGCAGAAGAGTCCAAGGAAATACCCCCAGAGAACCCGCAGGGTTGAGCACAACCCCCTGGGACAGCCACTGTGCTTTGCCACCCACAGCACTGCCACTTTCTGTGGGCCATCTGGGGGGAAATTCCGATACTCTGAGGGGTCAGACAAGCTTCTGAAAGGGCACCAGGCCAAGACAATGAAGCATCTTTCAAACAAAGCAAAGTTGAACCTGTTAGTGCAATTCTTAGCCTGGCTAATGAATGGCATTCAGCAGCTCTATCCAGCACACTGAATACTGCAGGAGAGGTGGAGAAGAGCACAGCTGAATTTTAAAAAGCCTGCAGGAGAGAGGAAAGCAGCAACACTCTCTGAATCAAGCCAAGCACCATTTTTTTTGTTCCTCCTGGAGAGCAGCAGGGAGGAAGAGATGCTGCTTATTGAATGGAGCTGTCAGTCCCCACTGACCTGCTGATTCACTGGAGGCACGAGCCAGTTCAGGCTCATTTCAGCTCTGGGGCTTGGGTGAACCATCCCAATCACCAGGAAAAAAAATTGGGTCCAAATACCTAAATGCTCAGCAGCTCGTTTTGGAAGTCCCAGCTTCCAAAAGTACAGCAGGAACAGCTTTTCTCGTGGGATGTTGGCATTGCTGGTGCCAGGCAGAACCTGGAAGCAAAGCAGCCCCTTTTTTAGATGTTAAAAATACACACACACAAATCCAGCAGGGAATACAGATCAACTCGACCCTGTCAACAGCAGTGCAAAGTTTTGCTTCAGGTCCCAGAAGAAGGGACAGTTCTGGTCCGTGGCAGCTCTGACAGGAGCATTTCTCCCAGGAAAAGGCAGGCTGGGAGCAGGTTGTGTCCCTGCTGCTCTCCAGGTTGGACATGCCATTACCTGAATGACCCAATTCTGCTCTCAGAGTTCCCAATTCCCAAACAGCAAGATCCCTACAGGGCTGAAAAGCAGAGCTTTGAGGGTCTCCTGGGTCAGTGACACCGTGGGAGAGCTGTCTCCATGTGAATCACTCACGTGTGGAGCAAGGGAGATGCTTTTTGGGTATAATTCCTGGAGTTTATTTTAGGTGCCACCTTGGGATGAGATGAATTACACCTTAAAAAGCAATTCAACCCTTCAAATAGCAATTCAACCCTTCAAATAGCAATTCAACCCTTCAAATAGCAATTCAGCTGTTCCTCTCAGCCCACAGAACCTCCCACCTCTATTTAATGGACATTTCATCCACCTCATTGAAGAGTCTTTGATAGGAATGAGGCCAAGATGAGCCCTGATGGGTTTTAGTGGGATTTGGGAATGTCTTAGAAAGGAAGAGATGTAGCAGATACTTCCAGTAGTACCTTGAAAGGGGGGATCTCCACTCACTCTCACCTCTGGGTGTGTTCTGGCCTTCAAAAGAGCAGCCCCCAAATCTCCTCCCTGCTGTGGGCACAGACATCCCCCCTTCTCCACAGCCCTGCCAGGTGCTAAAGGGTCTTGCACAGGTAATAGAACCATCAGTACAAATATATTCCAATTTCTGCCATTCTCACAGATTTGCCCTCTTGGCTGCTTGTCATGATGAGGTCTTTATGTGATATTTATGATTATGTAATATTCCTTCTATATTGACATGGATTATAGACCTCATACCTCTCACCCACACCCCCTTTCCCCCACATACCATATTTGTATTATAGCCAGGGACAAATCCAGGATTTTATTCAGTTCATTTTGAACATTAAAGTCACTTGTAAGACATCAAATCTAGGGACAGACTACACCAGAACAGAGGCACAGTTATGTCTTCAGCCTTTATTTCTGTTTTTATTAATGCTTAGGGCAGGACAACAAAGATTAGATGTTTTTATGAGACATGAGAAAAGAACAACTGTTTGCAGCAACCTTGTGCTGCCAAAAATTTATAGCCCAAACCCCATTTGTCTGGCAGTTCCCTTTATCCAAACACTCAGGACATTAAGCTGGTGGCAGACAAGGGTTTGGGGTGGCTGTGGTGACCTGAGCTGTCTGTCACAGGTATTTTATCCTCAGCCCTGACACTCCAATCAGCTGGATGTGCCAGAGCCCCCTCCCCGCTCAGCTGAGGGCTTGGGAATGAAAAACTGGCCTCTTAAAACAAAAATAACTCCAGCCAGGCAGAGAAAGCCACCATCCCTCACCCCTGGCAGGGTGGTGACAGAGCCACCATAAATACACTGCAGCTGTCCCTGGGAGCAGGGCTTTGGGGCAGGGGAGGAGGCTCTCAGGGCTCCCCTGACCACCCCAAACCCACCGAGGGCATCACGACCAGCCCAGAGCCACAGCCAGGGGGGCCCCGAATGGTCTGGCCCCGTCAACCCCACGTCCTGGGGGAGAAGTTACAGTGACAATGGCTCTGTCTCTGCCCTTAATGACACCAGGGCGAGGTCTCCTCACTCCCTGGGTGCTGAGGAGGTGCAGGATGACCCAGCCTTGATTTGCCTTTGCTTCTTGAGCTCTCAGTGATGTTGGACAGCCCGGGGGTTGCACCTCACCCTGAGAAGTTTGAGGATCTCTCCAGAGGAGCTCCAGGTTCTGACCATGTACAAGGAACCAGCTCCCACGGGGGGTGTCAGAAACTCCCACTGGCAACCAAATGCCAAAGGGATGGAGCATCCAGCCCTGAGCCAGTGGAATCAGCAGGAACAGCACAGATGCCAGGCTCAAGGGATCTGTGGATTTGGAGAAGGGAGAGAACTGAGGGCAAACCATCACCAGTAAGCAGGGGGGGCTGATGGGTGCTCATGTTTAAGAGGGCAGTTCACAGGTAACTGCTCCCAGGGAGGAACAGCAGGAATTCCAGGTTCTCTGTGTCCCTGGGGATTGCAGGGCAGGGGAACTGTTACGACATCTGTGAGCCCCAACCAACAGCAAGAGGGTCCTGCTGGGTCTTCAGCATCCTACACACCTTTTCCCTTTCTCCTGGGGTTATCTGGGAGGTGATTTGCATATTTGGTGTGCCCTCAGTCTGTGAAGAACAGCCACAACAACTTCCCTGGATCCTGCTGCCTCAAAGTTCCATTTTTCCTTGCTGGTAGAACAGAAGCTGTTCAATTCCGGAACATTTCTGCAAGAAACTCTGGCCATGGTTTACTTTTCCTCTGAAGAGGAGAGTTGCCATCACCAAAAGCCCAGACCAGTGTTCAGCTGCTGTTCCCCATCACCACAACCAGCCCCAGAGCCCCTCACTGAACAGCAGTGCTGGCACTGAGGGCTGGTGCCAGTGCTGTGTCTGCTGCCTGGGAGGGTTTTCAAATAAAATAAGAGAAAATAAATCGAAAAATAGTAGAAAAAAATAGAAATAAATAGAATGAAGAGAAAAAGAAAGAAAGAAAGAACCACAACCACAAAGTGCCAGAGCACCGTGCACAAAGCCAAGGAGCCACAGTATTGATTCTGTGAGCTTTATAAAGGAATTAAGAGGCAAGCAGTGCAAGCAGAAAGGGAGGAATTTGGGAGAGCTGCTGTGAGGGGGGGTTTCATTACCTGCTCAGGGCACTGACAGTGCAGAGTTTCCCTGCCCAGGGCACTCTTGACTCCAAGCCCTGCCTATGGAGGCTTCTTGTGCCTCAGGCACTGAGTGGGGAATGGTGTGGGAGCTGAGACTGGGACACAGGCACTAAACACCAGCCAGGGAAAGGGATGAGGGATAAATCTGCTGTTCAAAATGCAGCTTCCTGTGCTCGGAATCACAGAATATCTGAGCTGGGAGGGACCCCCAAGGATCACGGAGTCCAACCCTCAGCCCTGCACAGGCCCAGCCCCAAGAGTCACCCCCTGTGCCCCAGAGGATCAGCCAAACCCTCCCTGAGCTCTGGCAGCCTTGGGGCTGTGCCCACTGCCCTGGGGAGCCTGGGCAGTGCCCAACCAGCCTCTGGGGGAAGAACCTTTGCCTGAGATCCAACCTGAGCCTGCCCTGACACAGCTCCAGCCATTCCCTGGCTGCTGTCCCTGGTCCCCCCAGAGCAGAGCTCAGTCCCTGCCCCTCCTCTGCCCCTGCCCAGGACGTTGGAACTGCACTGAGGTCTCCCCTCAGTCTCCTCTGCTCCAGCTGAACACACCAAGTGCCCTCAATGTCCTCCCACGCCTTCAAATCAAGGCCCTTCCCCATCCTTGTTGCCTCCTTTGGACACTCTCTGATGGCTCAATCCCTTCCTTACATTGCTCTCTGTGTGATGAGGTTCAAGACTGGATCAGAACAAGGGGTTTTGTCCATATATATTCTAAAAATATTCCTTTGAGTCTTTCCAAACATGAGCACTTGGAGCCTGGTCACATTTGGGCTTATTCTGTGCTTGCTGTCACCTGAAAGTCTCCCATCATCCCCAAGTACATCCATGAGAAAAAGGTGACTGGAACATCCCTTGTCAGGGCAATCCAAGACCAAAGGCCAAACCAAGACTCAGAGCAGATGGGCAGAACTGTGGATGTGGCACTTGAGGACATGGTTTACTGGTGAACACAATGGTGGTGCTGGGTTGATGATCTTCAAGGTCTTTTCCAACCATAATGATCCTGTGATTATCTCAGGGAACCTTCAGGGCCTTTTCAGACAAATTAATCTCCACAATACCCCGGTACCTCATAATGTTCTGACGTTCATACACAGGGAGGCCAAGACAGAGACATGAACTGGCTTTGCTAAATCACAGCATGATCCTCACTGATGAGCTTAAAAAAAATTGAAATTAAATAAAATAAGTCAAATGCTAAAAATCCCAACTCTGTCCACATTTAACTGCTGCACATTCCTTTCACCTCTTTTGACACGTTCATTTGAAAAGGTTCTTAATAAATCTGATTTTGCTCAGGCACAGAAAACCTAAAGACAGTTTGGAAAAGTGACTCATGTCCCATCACACTCATGGCAACTGTCACAGTGGGGGCTGAAGTGTTGGCAGGGAGCACATCTGGAATCTCTGCTCCTTCCCAGGTGACCTGGATGAATCTGAGAGATTCACACAAGACCAACATTTCCTATTAAAGAAATTCAGAGACAACTTGGTTCAGATTAGAGGGGAAGGTTAGATTAGATATAAGGAAGGAATTGTTCCCTGGGAGGGTGGGGAGGCCCTGGCCCAGGTTACCCAGAGAAGCTGTGGCTGCCCCATCCCTGGGAGTGTCCAAGGCCAGGTTGGACAGGGCTTGGAGCAACCTGGGCTGGTGGAAGGTGTCCCTGCCCATGGCAGGGGGTGGAATGGGATGATCTCCAAAGTCCCTTCCAACTCAAACCATTCCATGCTTCTATGATTCCAACTTCATAAAGAGCTTAAAAGGAATACACAGATAAACTGAATCACCCCTGCAGGCATCTGAGGGGGTTAAAAGCCAAGATGAGATAGAGGATTCCTGCAGCATGTGAGGGTGGCCTGTGAGGAAGGTGGATTTGGAAGCACTGGAAGGACAGGTGGGATGTTTAAAAATGTCCCAGCAGGGAGAGGTAAGACTTGGCAGGTCCCTGAGGTTTGGACACGAGGGTTATACCAAGGAAATGTAAGGAAGGTGTTGAGCCATTAGAGAGTGTCCAAAGGAGGCCACGAGGATGGGGAAGGGCCTTGATTTGAAGGTGTGTGAGGACA